GTAAGCATATTTATTCCGTTATGGTAAAACTCCATCCTTCTCTGGTTAAAATAACTGTGAAGACATTTCTAAGCAGCAGTTGGGTTTTGCAGCAGTTTTGAGCATGTAATTGTCAATATGCTTGGAAAAGTGGCATTCGGTTGATAGATGGGCAGTTAAACATAGTGATATGGAGACCATTCTCCGACAGCAGAAGTATCATTACATCCTCCATCTGAGAATGCGTTGGCTTTGGGAAGTGTTTAGGTGTTTTGTCCTTGTCGAGCACTGCGGTGAATGTCGACGGTTTTCGTGCAAAGTTCGTTTTTAATCGCTTGTGACAGTACACTCAAGGAACGAAATGTTTCCGTTGCATAAGGATAGTACAGAATGGACTCATCGTGGACAAAAAAATCTTGTGTTCGTTAGATTTGGAGGGAGAGCGGTATTTGTCAAGGTCTTCAGAGTTTTCATTTGGATTGATAAGTTTTTAGTCTGTTGTTAACGTCGACTAGTCTGTGACACCTTTAATTTCTTTCCTCGTCAAATAACAGGAAATTTATCCGACTCGTTTTTCCTGTGAAGAAGATAGTTTTATATGAAGAGGTGCTAAATCTAGGTGTTGAAACAGCATGTAATATGAATATAAGACATGAAGACCTCATATGAAAATTTCAGGAAAGTACGCAGTAATGTGGTTCTACTAAATATCTAACTACGAAGCTTTCCATATATCCCAATGAGCCCATTCTTGATGTTGAAATAGTCGATGATGACCTTGTGAGTGTGACTCTCTGTTGAACTTCCGAACCATTTAATATCGCATGTGGTAATAGCAGTGATTGCTGTTGACACTTAGTTTGCAAAGAATGTCGAAACCTGTGTTAGTCCATGTCTTTTCGATTGTAGACATCGCATGTCATCTGTTTCTGGTTCGTAAGAATTGATGTTCGGTGTCAAGCACATACTGACGACCAGGCAAACCTTACTATTGTTTGCTCCGAGACAGTTCTCCACTGTAGTAAATCGTATTCAAAGTGCACTACTCACCTGTGTGGCTCAGTCAAATGACATCGCTTTTGATTTCCTCATCATGTCATTGTCGTTTTCAGACCGTATCCCCCACCATGTATTTCATTTGGTTGCAGGCTTATCCGGAGTTGACTACAAAACAATCATATTCACACAAACACACCATTGCCAGCACGCGTGAAAATCTATGTAAATTAGGAAGGTATAATTGAACACTGAGTAACAGAGACATGTAGTTCACTTTTTTTTTTACATTAGAGGGAGGCTACATCTTTACTAGTATGTATGCTTCCTTTAATGCGGGAAAATTGCTATTTTGAGTAAATAACTAAGTGAAATTATAAATATGCGGAAATAGTGGTGGATTTCCCATCTTGGAGTTATCAGATATCTACTTGAACTTCAATATGCTTCAACGGCTCGTCTTCATGAGTTATTCAGACCCCAGCACATCGTTTATTCGCATCTTTGCCTCGTAGTCGTCGTCCATGGTGGTGGTTTGATTCGAGCATGGTGGTGAGTGCGAGTCTCAGACCTGTAAAATTACTGTGGCTGCGAGTACAGCTGTTTGGCTTTAGTTACGAACATGTTAGCCCAACGTGTAGATAGTCGTCCCTAGAGAGCGCCTCCATACTCGTGGAATCCACTCTACAATTCTTCTCGGCCGTCTGTTGTCCGTTTTGATTATATAACCTATAGATCGCGTTTCGCTATCAGTACACATTCTCGAAGATGAAATAGATTTGTAGGATCAGAGCTTCTCAATCCAGCAATACATTGTGTATGTTGGTTAAATTTCAGAAGACGTCGCTCAAAAGCCCTATAGGTGATGTGCAAGTCTCTGGTGGTTAAGAAAATATCTGGGAGGACTATCGATTGAAAAAAGTGAGATCGGAGTTTTGGATCTGCTAGTTGGTTGTTTGTGGCTTCCTTGAGAGTCCAAACGCGGCCCATATTGTTCTTATTCTTCTATCTAATTCCTTTTTCATGTTGTTTTCCATGTTTCTTAAAAGTCATAGGTTGAGTACGAAGAGGTCTTTGTAATCAGAGAACCATCGAGTTCTATTTGTTCGCCTTCGCACCATGAGTTCTTAATGAACTGGCTTTGCTTCCGATTTATTCGTAGTCCGATCTTTATTAGCGCTTTGTTGAGCTCACTGATCATCGTCTCTGCTTCGTTGGTGCTTCTTGGGAGGGCGGTTACGTTTATGATAAAGTTCAATATATTATATGAAATTGTAGTGTTGAAAGAAAAGCGTACTATTATGATCGTAAGCCAGATGAAATAGCAAAAGAAATTGATATTCTAGTCAGCATGCGAAACAGTAAAGGAATATCGCACTGGTTGAATAAAATAAAATGAAGATAAAATCATAAATTTTATTATTTCCATAAGATGATCAAACAACCACTGGATTAAATCAGTATCTAAAAGAGCACAACATTCCTTTAAAGAGCTTTAGCGGTACTGTTTCGTTTTGTTTCACCCTTTTTTCTATGAGTATGCTAAGAAGTCGATGGAAAAGCTGTGTTTTCGTGGTGCAGTTTCGATAACAGTCAGATAGAGTTCTTATATTGGACGGGTCCACTCCTGGGTCAACTAGCGCTGATAGGACTGCATTCGGTTCGACGCTGTCAAAAACTTTTCCATAATCGACGAAAGTCAGGGCTATGGGAAGGTGGTGTTTCCGACAAAGTGCTATGACCCTGAATACGGTTTGAATATTGTCATATACATGCAGCAAATTCCTTGTCGAGATCCTGTTCGCTTAATTAGTTACGTCTCGTCCGATGTCCTCGATGTCCCCAAATGAATGTCTTCGTGAATAGCCTGTACAGTGCACTCAACAAGCGTAATGGTTGAGACTCACGAAGATCCCTTCGGTCACATTCCTTTGGCAGGATAAGCTTGCCCGACGGCCTGGGATTTTTTTTACTTCTAAATTGCCACTCTTAGCTCTAAGAACATCGGCGGTGATGTTATCGGATCTTTGATCTTTGCGTTTATTCATGCTTTCTACCGCAACTGGAACTCAGGAGGGGAGTTCCGGTTGGTTTTCTCGAGTGCTGATTTTAGAGCCTAGGACGGCGATTGTGGATCGGAAAAAGTTGATACAGAACTTTTCCCTTAACAATTCCATGTCATGGTGGGAAGTTTTAGAAGTTCCCTCTTCGTTGATCAGGGCGGACTGCCGAATATCATACTCGCACAAGTACTAACGGTATTTTTTCAGACTGGTTTTTTTGTGCTGCTTCTAGTAGTTTCTTCTGTCTACGCCGTTGTAGATCTTCTTGCGAAGCTTTTCAGCAATGGGATTTATTACCAGCTGCGTTATGAGTGTTCCAATAGGATCAAGCTTCATTTCACTGTTTTCAAGCAACACATTTGGCTCCTATCCTTGCGCAGCAATTTATCTTATAGTCTGTATCTGATATTTATTTCACAGTGGATCGGGTCTTTTTTAAAACGGTTTAAGTGGTGAAAATAGAAAGATTACTTCATTTTACTTCATGAATTTAAACTTTGACATAATCCATTACAAACTCGAAATGTCATTCGAAGTGTGGGCCAGTGAAGGCCTTTTGAACGTCCAGTACGCAGTTGCTCCGAAAGGATTTTTGACGGAAATGTGAGTCTTCACGACAGAGGAATTCCGTCGTATGCATCAATAATTGAGGAAGATCGTGTAAAGGTGATAACTGAACCTACCGCTCCAAAAACTATCTGAGAGGTACTATGAGTGGTCAGCGTACCGTACGAATTCAATGGATGCCAACGAGTTTCTTGTCACGAAATCTTTTCTGCTGCTTCTTTTGAACAGCAAAAAGGACCTATTTATGTGTATAATGAGATGCGATGAAAAGGGGATCTTGTACAACAATCGCCAACATTCAGTTTATCATTGGACTGTGATGATATCGTTCCCAAGATCGACTTTCTCTTAACCTCGGCATTGGAATATGAATGTGTCGTTTTCTTGTTCAGCAATCGCGAGGTTTTTAAACAGCATACGTTTACTTCCATAAAAACACAATACAGTACAACGCTAGCTGACGTTTCGGCAGTATCGCCTTCTTCAGAGCCGCTTTTTTCGTGACTTCCAATGAGGAAGTTTAGAACAGCTGATTATAGTCGCATGTGGTTGACGACTGCACCATCCCACATCAAAAATCGATCGATTTTTGATGTGGGATGGTGCAGTCGTCAACCACATGTGATGATATCGCTAAACATTTTCCGAAGCCGAGTTTTCAGAAAAGGCAGTTATGGTCGCTTTTTCGCCTTCGCCATTCCTCGCCTATGATTACTGCGATTGCTCTCCACAAATTAGTTGGAACAAAACGGTTTACCGCCTCATCGTGGCTGGGAGGTGTTCTTGGGTGTCGGACTGCGGTATACAGCGGAGGACTCATCACCCTGGTAGGGTCTCCCAAGCTGAGAAGGAGTTCGACGTTTCCATCAGGAAGCCTAGCTAAGAGTAAACCAGTACCAAGATCCACCACCGTCCTGTTATCAAACTGGTTGCATGGTGGCAAATCTCCCTCTGATCCACAAGGGCGGCGACTACATGTAATTGTGACGACCTGGGGCAGACTTTGGCCAGACTAACCTTGGGACTCGAGGGAGCAATAATGTCTGAGCCAACAAAACTCTGAAAAATGGAGATTATGCTGGGGTCCGCACAACTAGTGAGGCCGGGCCGTTCAAGTATCAAGTAAGTACTTGCAAAGAATAAAACGGCTCTGAAGAAGGCGATTTTACCAAAACGTCAACTGTTGTATGCTAATAAATTCTATAATATCAACCTCGTGTTTGCTTTTCTAAGAAAACAGTGAATTATCAATCGATGCCGAGGCTAATAGAAAGTCGGTCTTGGGATGTGGCAAAGTTGGCTGAAGGCTTTTTTTAAGTCCAATACAAGATTGCGTATGTTAATGGTATTGATTGTTTTAATGAGAGAATCACTTTTTTTGCGACTTAATAGCTCATGCCGTGTGATATTATGGTTTATACTATTGCAGGTACTTATGGAACAGTATTCAAGGCTCGTAATAAAGATTGTGGAGAAGTCGTTGCCTTGAAGATAGTGCGACTGGACGATGATGATGAGGTTACATATGCCTTCTTGTACAAAGAGTTCATTATGTTAATCGTATTCATATACATAGATATGGATATGACTATGTACTTATACGTGCGTTATATATGCATATATATGTGTATGTGAATGTATATATACACATATATGTATGTTTATGTAAATGTATATATATACATGTATATATACATATGTATATGGTAGCATGTAGCGCAGTTGTTAAATTAATTAAAAATTAATTATAAATGGCTAGCAATACGCACAAGGTCGTTGCTTCAATCCCTCTCCTACGCTCACCAAGCCCTCGAACTGCCTGGGTTCGGCAAATTTGCAACAAATCAGTCTAGGAGGATAAAAATATAAATATAATTCGTTAATAGGTTTTCGCAAGTCACTATATAGCCCAAATATGCACTACCTCGACCATCAATGGTACTTGCTGGAGTGAAAGGGAGGATACATCTCTCAGAGGTTGAGCAACACCGAACGCTTTTGCGCGCTCGTGTAGGAGCGTCCTGTTTTACTCTGCAGTGGATCAAGGAGTCGGAAATCCAAATATTTTTTCCAGATTTTCATTGGGAATCTAAAAAATTGGTAACTATTGGTAATGAAGAGAGTTCTAGAATTTCGTGTTCAGCAGTTTTATGCAATTTGCCCAAAGTGCTTATATCTTTTTCACTTTGTTTTCTGGGTCTGCTTTCATCTTAACTTTCTGTTTATTTTCTATTTTCAGGGTGTTCCCAGTTCAGCACTTCGTGAAATTTGCATCTTAAGGGAGTTGAAGCACAGGAATGTTGTTCGTTTGTACGATGTAATATATTCGGAAAGCAAGCTAACGCTAGTATTTGAGTATTGTGACCAGGATCTGAAGAAGTTCTTCGATTCTCTGAATGGTCATGTGGATCAACAGGTTGTTATTCTGTATATTCGCTGTCTTAGTCTTCGTTTAACTGAGGATTGGCGTTCGATCGGAAGTTATTGAAGTCTTTTAAAAACAGATTTAAGAATTACAGTTAAGGAAACATGGCGGGATCCAGAGAGTATTCTTAGCTATTCTTTAAGCTAATTTTTAGCATTCAGTAATTCTAATGTGTTGTTGGTTTCCCTACACTGTTTGAGATTAACGTGGCTTGATTTGAACCATTCATTGGTATTTCTAGATGGCAAAGTCCCTAATGCTGCAGCTGTTACGAGGGTTGGCGTTCTGCCATGCACATCATGTGCTCCATCGGGATCTTAAGCCGCAGAATCTGCTCATAAACTCTAATGGCCAGTTGAAGTTGGCTGATTTCGGACTGGCTCGTGCATTTGGTGTACCGGTTAGGTGTTACAGCGCAGAGGTCAGCATCCTACAAATTTTTCAAGCATGTGATATTTTATTCTCGATCCCAATATTAGCCGTGAAGGTGGTAACGTTGTGGTATCGACCACCTGATGTATTGTTTGGTGCGAAGTTGTACAACACTTCGATCGACATGTGGTCAGCTGGATGTATATTTGCAGGTGGATATCGTTTATTGTTCTTGTGAACATTTAATGAATCCGTATAAGTATTATGATGTTGTTCTATTTAACGCTAAGAATCGGCTAGCAAACTCATTGTGTTGACGGTCAGAAATCGCGTGCTGATCATCTTCGTAAGGTGGAGGAGGTGCCTAGAATATTCCGAGGAATGTGGAACTTTTTTTTTTGAAAATAAAGAGTTCAAAATAATTGCGTCCATTTGCCAGCAGTGGAGGGAAGGCAGTCGTCGGGCAGTCTGGATAATTTTTTTTTTGATGAGCACTTTTTAAAATGAAGTGTTCAAAATAAAGAGAAGAACCCGCATTTCTGGGAATATTCTGAGCACCTCCTCCAGCTTACGGAAATGATCAGCACGTTCTTTCTGACCATCTACGTCGTGATGGCTTTGCTAGCTGTTTGTTTCAGTCACATTGAAGTATATCGTGAGCATATTAAGAATAAGTATATCAAGTCATTTAGTTTCTGTTTTACTTTTAGAGATATCAAATGCTGGTCGACCACTATTTCCTGGTGCAGATGTAGATGACCAATTGAAAAGAATATTCAAACAGTTAGGAACACCTACCGATGATTCGTGGCCTGGACTTTCACAGCTGCCGGATTACAAAGTAGGATGTGGATTTTTCTACATAGCTATAGACGATGACTCCAGGATTTCAAGATTGCTGAGGTATTTGCAAAACTCCGGACCGCAGGTGTCTGCGGTGGGAAGGAACGCGCTGTTGTCCTTTCTGGGGAGCAGCGCGTTCACCACCACACCATGCAGGTCCTTCGTTTCGCCTGTCTCGCTAGTTCTATCGATCAGCGCCATCAGCAACCAAACATCAGATAGAACCAGCTGAGATAGAGGTGGAATGAAGGATCCACATGGTATGGTGGTGAACGTGTTACTCCCCAGAAAGGACCGTAGCGCATTCGTTCCCCACTGCGGACACCTGTGGTCCGGAGTTTTGCAAATATCTCAGCAATCTTGTGGTTGTATTTCGTTTAATACCCTGCCATAAAAATAATAGAAGGCAGAAAATAAAAAAAGTAATCCTGGATTTCAAATAAATGGAAAGATTATAAGCTGCCAATTATCGCACTTTCAATGTTAAAATTTCTTATTTCTTCAGGGAAACCTTTCATAATCTGACTTATTGAATTTCACTTTGTCCGTTTTATTATTGTGGAAATCTCTTGTTCTCTATGTTAATAATTTCTTTGGAGAATGTTCCTACACACTTCAGCCAATGCCTGTGTATCATCCTTCTATGACGTGGGGTCAAGTTGTACCCAATATGTCCGCTAGTGGTCGTGATCTTCTTCAGGTAATTTTCGAATAATTATATGTTATACCTTGCTTCCTTGGTTATTGCACCCACATAACCATTAGTTTCTTCCAAAACTAATCAGAGTGAAGAGAACTAAATCTAAATGGAATTAAATTGCCTTTTTAGGATTTCTTAAGTGGATTCCTTCAAACTAATTTTCTTGAATAGGATCTATTTGTAAATCCACTCGAATTCTAACATATAAAAGTGAATCACTATAAGTATTCCTTAGACTAATTATACGAATGAATATTTTCAATTATCTTTGATAATATCGGTTGAATACGGCCGTTTGACAGCTTTTGACACCTTTATTCACAAAACTTAGTTCATCACAGTTGTATGCGTTCAGCAATCCTAGGATGATGTCCAGATTTCGATTTCACAGTTGCTATGCTTTCTCCGTAGGGGTCGTCCCGAAGAACACATCGAAACACGCAGCCTACAGCCGCACTAAACTTGTCCCGAATCGAACTCACACATGGTTCTCCTGTAATCAGTGACTACTTAAAGGCACTCGCCGCCTAGTTTACGTATGTTATTCACTAGGTGTATCTTTGATCTAGGAAGCCATGTTTTCTAACTTTTTGCCCCAAGTTGCCCCCACTTTACAAGATAACATCGGAATGCGATGTAGAATAACTAGACGATAACTCATCTACTTGCGTTCAGTTACAGTTAAACGCTATCAGAGCCACTGTTAGTGTTCTAACAGTCTATGGAGAAACTCAGAGACGAACCCCTGGGTGCAAGTAACTGAACTAAGGGTAATTATTTCTTGGTTAAACTGAAGCAGACGTTAGACTTATCCTGACACAGAAATAAGTTGTCACAGAAGTTGAGCTGGTGTTTCATCCTCGGTTTTAAGTAAATCTTCCTATAATATATAAGTTAATGTAAAATCATAGAACGAAATCTGCCAAGTAATCAAAGACCGCTCTTTTTATCACTAGAACGTTTTAACATGCAGTTAATGAACTGTATTAATTAAAATAGAAGCTATTAGAATCCACAGATCTTTGTCTACAAGGTAATACTTGTTGGTTTCTTCATGTATTTCTTTTGTCGAGGTTTGTTACCCAGACAGCGAATCCCTTGAGCAACTAGGAGTACGTCCCAATGAATGCGATTACTTTTCAAACAATGTATCGTCTTTGGTGATCTCCGCTGCCGGCTCAAAGTTAAAACTTTTTTGGGGTGCGCTGACATTTTTTTCAATTTTTAATTTTGAGGGAAGTTTTTGGTTCTGGTTTTCAGTTTCCTAAATCACCTAAGAATTGAATGGACATTTAAAGTATAGAAAGGAGAATCCTCTATAAGTTTTGCAAACCCACAAGGTGCCATACCTTTTTACAGACCTACCTTTTCAAAAAACTTAAGTGCAAAACTTTCGGTGCAGTTTATAGTTTGAAATTCGATAGTGGTAGTTAGCCTCAAAACGCTTTGCTAGGAATGTGGTGTCCTTCGCAACAGATTTCTTTAAATGGGTCCATACTTGTAAGTATAATTAGGGGATTGTAATTTCTTCCAGTTATGGGCCAGTTCTGTTCCTTTTTCAGTTTTATGCTCACGACTAGATTTCTTTTTCTTCTTTCGTTTCTTTATCTTATTAAGAAGCGCTGGTTTATGTTGAATCGGAAGAAATAATTACAGAAGCTGCTGGTTTGCAATCCGAATGGCCGTCTTGACGCCGAAACTGCACTTCAACACGCTTATTTCTCTGACGTTTGCTAGCATTGTTGTTCCACAATAATGGTGGCTGTGTTTGATAATCTGGGTATTCTTTGATCTCCGATAAATGTGAAAAAGGTTTTTGTACGTATTGTTAGATTACAAAGATGAGTATATTAATTTATAATTCAGTACATTGTACTCGGTGAGGTGTAAAACATCAGTCAGCCAAACAAGGCAACTGTCGTTTGCTGAACAGGTGAGAAAGTATTGGTTGCATTAAGCGTGTGAAGACAAATTGTGAAGTCGGTGGTATATTACAACGACTAAAGAAGTAGAATAACGCCATCTCCAAAGACGTGTCGTACCTGCGTTGTTATACGCAGAAAGTTTCAACAAGATATGTTCTGGATACCGATGTCAGCAGTTATCTGTGAAGATTGTTGCACATCGTCGTCTGGGATTCCATTTATGCCATGAATATGATGAGTGTATGGAATATAGAAATATGACTATGCATGTGTAATGTGTGTATAATATGTAAAATAAAAAGATGAATATTAATAAAGGAGAAAGGATAAAGCTGTAGGCGTTGATCAATCCCTTGCGGGTGCGCCATGCATTCGACATTATTAAGCATCATTTGGAAGTGATTGAATGCATAACTGGTCTTTTCGGCAATGACTCGCGGTGGCCAACCGTTGTATTGAGCCAGTGCTGCTATCTTCCTAGACAAGTCTGATACCATTTTACCGAGCCCAGATGCTTGGTGATCTTGGGGCGCGAGCATCGATCCCATGTGCATTGCAGGGCGCATGCGACCACTGCGCTATATGTGCTGTATTGAAGATGGATTTGAATATGGACTTTAGTCTTAAAAATGGACTTTATATTGGCTGAGACGATTGGTTGAAGTGGGCACGTGCATTGTGCTTACCTTTTATTTCGCCACTTTTCGGTGACAAAAAAAAAGTTCGGGAGGAAGATTGTCAGGTTTAGCACTGGGATACGCTTTATGTTCATATTAGGATGTCAACATTTGATAAAGGTACTCTAAAAGTTGCCTTTTATTTTTATCGAAATATACGATTACAACGAAATAGTTTGTTGAAAAGACATTCTATAGATAGATGGTAGAGATGTGTTATTCCGGAAATTTTCACTCACAAGACCATCAATCTTCGTTCGGTGAAAAAAATTCAAATTTGGTCCTCTTATTTACAACATATGCGACTATTCGAATTGCTTATCCTCAATCGAGTATTTGAACTTGTGTTTCAATATATGGAACCCTGTTGTAATAACATCAATGATCTTAAATTGGTTTGGAGCGTAGTCATGGTCAACTTGCGTGTCAGGAGTGTTAGTATCAAACAATTGTAAGTTGAAGTCACCTTTAAAAGTTTGTTTGATTTAGTGAGAGGGAAAGAAAAATCTTTAAAGGAATCCTCCGATTCTTACTGAACTCTTGTAATCTCGTTAGCTATATGAACTGAGGAAAACCACGTTTATTTGCACATCGGAGCCGTCATACAGTGTACATGGCTTCCTGTGTGCTATGCTGCATTTTTGATTTAGGTTAGGTATTAATTAATGAAGCATACGGAGAATTTGTTCTGATATATGTTATTGTCATGATGTGAGCTACAACCTCAGCAGATACTATGAAGCTCGAAAGCGAACATGGTAGCGCTTGTGGGGCGGTCGTTTTCTTCTAGCAGCGAGTGTGAAATTACCTCTTGTAATTAAAGATATCTGGTAACCAGTACAAACGCAGGTCGATCGTCTCTTGTTCTATCATGGATGAAATGATAACCCCGGAGATACTGCCAAACTATTTCCCATGATTCATTCATCAACGTAACAGCGTGTCCTCTGGAAATGCAATGTACAACATTGGTTTGGTCCTCTTTTTATAGAGTTATCTAGTTAAGAAACAAATGAACACTTTTCTTTTCAGTCTGAATTTGTGCCCAAAAATCGTCAGGCAGAAAGCTTTGCGAGGACTCAGAGTTATTTTGGGCAGTCATGATAGCTGAGAACTTCCTGGTATGGTTGGCTGGGAGCTCCAGAGTCATAAATTGCACAAACAAGCCAAAGCTCCGATCTCTTCGATGTGATGCTTTGATGCAACAAAAAAACGATCCATCGTCCATTCATACGAGATCTTGTTACATCTCTGAACCTTCCACCACCTGCAACTTAAGTACACATTTCATGTAGTTTCTGCTGTCGAGAAACCTGATCGTAAAGAACCTACCTTGAACCTGTTTCTCCCTACTTGTTCGCCATGGTACACCATGGCCTTTATGAATCTAGTTTCTTGTTTCATTATTTATTCACATTGCTGTTCTTGTTTTCGTTGCTTGGGTATCGTAACTGCTTCATTTGCTCCACTCAAAGACAATGTCATCGACAAAATGAAATGTCTCCATCGATTCTCCATCAATGTGCTTGCTTTTTATTCCAATCAGAACGTAATATTATTCGCCGCCGTTTGACAATAAATACTTTTGACGAGCTGAAGTCGCAATGCCTTATTCCAGTGTTATAGGGATGGAGAAGGGGCAACGGAAAAACTCCATTGCCATGGTGAAGCTCTGACCGTGCTCCGTTAGAGTCTTTTTGTAAAGAGGCTTCATGGCTTATACGGCGAGCATCGGTAAACCAGTGCTCCAAGGAAAGAATTTCGCTTCATGTGTTCTCATAGTAGTGAATAGTAATAGTAATTATCACGACCAACTTTCCCCTCGGGTTCTCCTTCTTCAGAGCCTGGGAAGGTCGAGCTGATTGCAATCTACCCAGCAAATTACAGAAAATATGAACCCAAGATTTGATTCGCATTGAAGATAAAATAGCTTCCTCGCACACTCACGGCTTTCTATAAATCTTCCACTTAATATGTCACGTGGAGGCCAACCACACAGAGTTCACACAGAAGCGTAATATATTTCTTGCTTTAAAATATTAATCTTAAATTCTGTGGAACGTCACGCGTGATAGCGAGGCATGTGCCCCTGCGGTCCATTTTCGGATTCTTGGAATATATCCGGAAAGCCTTGAGAGTTTTGCGCGTTGACGTTTTCGATTGCTGTGCGAGGGTAACTTCACAATCTTACCCGTTATGTCACTCCGCCCCATGCGCTCCTAGTGAGTATTTGGTTCAACTTTAAGTTCACCGACTAGATATCCGTTTACACGGACCGCGAATGGCCTTCCTATTTTGTCAATGCATTCGTCACCGCTTGCTTTGCAAGAGATCGGATAAGCCGTACCCGAACTCATAAAATCAGAGCCTCTACCGTTAGGACATTATTTTTGCGTTGTACATAGACGGTCAAACGAGCGGTTGTGAAGTAGCTGACGTCTTAGTGTGCCCGGCGATATATGAATCACTGTTATAGCATTCTCTAGACCGATCCTTCCTAATTAACGTTTTATAGCTGCACTTATTTCGTTGGAAATGAAGGGCAGAATAAACGGGACCTCATTATCGCCACAGTTATTGAATGGGGCTTCGGTTTTCCTCTACACCTATCTCGAGGAGCTGCAATTTCGTAGCCACTAGAAATGGCTATTTGCCATGCCACCTTCCGGGATTCCTCCCTCTGCTCTTTACCTGTGCACACACTGATCGCTGTTCCAAGCATGTTTCTTACAAGCGCCCTTTTTGTGTGTGATCTTGCGTTGAGTAAATAACAATGCAATTATTGCAGAATAACAAAACCACCATCTATATATCTACAGTAGAGTAATGGCTGGTGATCGGTTACTGGCGATTCCTCTTTAGACATAAATGCAATGATAAGCCATGGTGCCAATCGTTGTTCTATTGCCAACCCTCTCATTTGTGCGTAATATTTTCAGGGACACAACAAGAAACAGGAACGTGAACACACGCACGACACACCATGGAGATTGTTTCTTACTATGCACGTATAATGCCAGAACACTCTCACAGACGCCGATCTTCACGCCCTTCTTGTAGCTGCAGATCGCATTACAAGAAACAAAAACCAGGAAGACCGACATACGCCGACCAAACAACAGGACCCTTTTGATCCGTGGAGAAAAGGTTCCGTCACGAAATGCCAGTGGCGTAGGCTTTGTCACCCACCCATCCACTGTCCATCTCGTCGACTCATACGTGATCCTTTCCACTCGCATAGCTGTCCTCCGTCTTCAACTGTAGCATCATAAGAAGATCACTATCATCTACTGCTACTCACCGATCGACGCAGCTGATAAGTACGAATTAAATGCGTTCTACTATCAGTTGGAGGAAGTCATCCGCAATGATGAAGCATATCATAAATTTGTTGTTAGAGGCTTCAACGCCAGAATAGGAAAGGCCAACGAAAGCGAATCCAGGATCGGAAATTTTGGATTAGGAGAAAGAAATGAGAATGGGAACCGTTTCACAGGACTCCTGTCAGCAGCACGTCTCTTCCGTGGCTCGTTTCCCCAGAAGAAAGGAAGCCGCCGCTGGACATGGGAGTCTCCTAACGGCATGTCTCGTGCGGAGATCGACCACATTCTGACAAACAGAAAATGGTGCCTGCTTGACACATCGGTAGTCTCGCCATTCTGTACTGGTTCCTATCACCGCCTTCTTCGTGCGAAGATTCGATTCAGCTGCAAGCTGGAAAAGAACTCCTTTCATCGACCACGAGGAAAAAATCTAGTTGTATACGACGAGAGCATTCTGAGCAAGGTCCTATCCAAACATAACTGGCAGATTAAAGAAGACCGTACCGAAGACCACGAGCTGCTTGTCGAAGAACTGAAAAGCAGTGCCGAATTCGCCTGAGTTCCTCAAGAAAGAAGATCGGATCGCGTCTCCATCACTACTAAGGAGTTGCTCGAAAAGAGAAAGAAACTGAAGCTTGATCCTACTGCAACACGTTCAACACGGCTAGTAATAAATGCCAGCTAGAGAAGAGTTTTGCAGGAAGATCTACACAACGGTACAAGCAGGAGGAACTACTGGAAGCAGCAGAGAAAAGAAGCAGTCTGAAAAAATGCCGTCGGGACTTGTATGATTATAATGTTCCGCTATCAGC